TATTGACACACTCTTCACGTCATAAAATGTTCAAAACTCATGTGGACCCATGAGCGCAGCAAGGAAAATCAATATCGGCGCGCCCTTTGTCTTCTTTTCCCTCACCCCAGAGATGGCAGAAAATGAAATTTTCAGAAACTACAAATTGGCATCCTAAAAGATTCACGAATATTTACCCCTAATAAGAGATCCGACGGGCATACCCGGTACTTTTACTCCGGAATCCTCAACCCCGGGAATTTGTTTTCGTAATATTCACTGAATATAGAAGGCTAATTAAGGTTGTGTTCTTTATTTTAGGTGCACTCGATCCAGTAGCAAACATTCAAACCCAACGCGACCTGCCCAATTACATCATAGAAAAATGCACTTCTCCAGCCTTTGTGAAACTAATATCCAAAATCGGTAAAGGCTTCATGATTTCTCCTGAAGTATATGATGTCCTTAACAAGCTTCTTAAAAGCGACGARGAAAACGCAACTGGCGATACACAAGTTCTTTGTGAACTTTTTTCTGGGGAAAGATCCGAGAAATTCCACCAAACGTATCGTTTTCAATCCTGGGCACGACACAAGTACCGTATGCCGCACGCCTGATTTGCAGGATGGACCAGGGTCATGGGCTATATGACAGGTTCTTGTTTCTATTCCCCGAATGCACCAGGCCAACAACAGATAAGACCATAGAAGCGCAACAGTGGCTCGCTTCTGATGCCGCTCACCATAAAGATCTTCATGACACCTTTCTTTATATGTATGATTTACACAAGGGCCCAACGTCCTTTTACACCTTCACAGATGAAGAACTCCTAACTTCTAAGATCGCTAAGCGACGAATTCATAGAAGAAGTCAACAATGCCATATTGACAGGAAATGTTGGCCCAAAGTCGAAGCGCCTTGACCTTATCCAAAGAGTAGCCGTTGTTCTTCACGTGTTCAACTACGTTGCGTCATCAACCATCCGAGGTCAACAAGCCCAAAGACCGCCACAATACGTGGACAGGGATACACTTCAATCGGCAATAAAACTGGTTGAGTACGTGGAAAATCAGAAGGAGATAATGGCACAGGTAAATTATATCTTGATGACATCACTAACAATATGATTAATCACAGGCAGCACCCACTGGCATTATATATTTCCTGTTTCCTTTCTTTCTTTTTTTTTTGCGCGCGCTATTAATCATGGGTTCATATACCAACATATACCAACCCCGCGCCTCGCGCGACCATACCAACAGTTGAGCTTCAGTGTGACGTCAATCAAAAGACGTCACTTTGGCCCTTTTTCGACACCACTAAAAGAAAGAACAAGTCCAGTTTAGTAGGCAACGAAAATTGCGGACCTCTAGCTCAAAAGGGAGTGGCTGATGTTCAAAGTGCTCAATGTTTTATAGGACGTACGGTATTGACAGGCATGTCGTGACGTA